TCAGGGTTGATTGTGCCGCCGCAACATCGTCGAAAAGCAAGACGATATCGTCCGCATAATCTAGATCAACTAACCTTTCACCAGGCAGCACTTCAACGCCTACATCGTGAGATTCCGCAAGGGAACACTCCATGATAGAATCCACGACGAAATTGAACAAAAATGGGGAAATCGGACAACCCTGACGAACGCCACTTGTGGTCGGAAAGCTATCCGATAGGACACCGTAGACCCTGACGCGGCCTGTAGTGTTCGAGTATAGAGCACGAAGATGTTCACATATTTCGTGGGAACACCTTTCCGCGCAAGTATTTCGAACAGAATCGATCGATCGACTGAATCGAACGCACTCTTGAAATCGAGGAACACAGCTATTGTCGATCTGCGGTATGCGTGGCGCTGCTCTAGCACCATGCGCAAAGTGAATATATGGTCTATACAACCACGTCCTGGGTGGAAACCGGCCTGCTCTTCCCTAATCCGAGATTCCCGTTCCGCATGATCAGAGGCGACGAACGATAACCCCAGTACGCGGCAGTCCAGATCTGGACACCACTGCCGTCTGTAAGGCTTATAGCCCTGTTGGATCGAACAGCTCCTGTGCGACTCGCCCTGCTTGGATCATTGCCACTAGAAGCGACGCCAAGTGGTCCTACTTAGCGGGCCGCCACTGGTGCCTAAAGCCTGCATACTATAGAAACAACTGGAGGTCCCGTACGCAGTTTGCAGCGGAGCCTCACCGGTGCAGTCCGTTCGGCGTAAATTTGTGCAGGTGGGGAATCGAGCTGAGCTTCGGGCAGCGGCAAACGCCAACGACTTGTGCGTTCATATCCCCTGCAAGTACCATAATATCTGAACTAGTAGCACTGCGTAGTAGCGCGTTCAGTTCGTGATAGAATGTGTCCTTGACAGCATTAGAACTGCAGTCGGTGGGGGCATAAGCGGAAATCACAAACAAACAGCGCTTTTTTACTACTTCGTGAATCAACCTTGGCTGATGTTGTCAAACGGGCTGCACATAAACGACTGTTCACCATAATCCAATCAAACAACGATGGCTCAGCCTTTGAGCTTAGAATGATACCTACACCAGCTTGACCCGTGAGTGCTGCGTCGGCGTCTCCGCATGCGTGCAACCAATAACGAGAGGATAAGCCGGGTGCAGTTAATTCACTAGCCCCATTAGGGTCATTGATCCTAGTTTCGGACACACAACACATCAATACCCAGTATGTCCAATGTGCGTGCGATTGCAGCCTGTTGACCTGTTTGTCTTAGAATGCGAACGCTGAATGTCGCCATGGAAACGGGATAGCGTGGCCTTATAAGGGGCTTTGCCGATAGGCGTCCGATACGTGCGGTGGGATGGTGGCTGCAGATGGTTCTACTTCAGTGACACTTCTGTTGCTGTCAATTAAGCTGGGAATTATAGAAGGAAGATTAGTGAAGGGGGTTGAGATGGGAGTAAGAGAAAAAGGTGGAAAAGAAAGAAGGGATGCGCCAGCAGCAGCATGTTTTTGCTTATCCACCCTGCTGTATGCAGCAGATAAGGTGACTCTTGATAATCTGCTCGACGGCTGATGCAGGATGAAGTTTATGTTTGAAGAAGATGTCATGGTTGTATGTAGGCTGAGATACTGCCAGGGCACCCAGACCCAGACAGGAGGACGATTAGGGTCCTCATCCAAAGCCTTTGGTTCAAAACCAGTCCGCAAGGCAGCGGGGAGGTGCAATGATTTAGTTTTACGTAAATGGACGCTATTCCATTTCAAACCACCAACCTAGAGGACCAGGAGATTGAATTTGTCTGACCTCTCACCATTGACCAACCTTGTAGGAGTAGCTCTCAACGTGCATGGAGGCATCACCCAGTATAGCTCAATGGGTCAATGAGGTACACAAACCGCCGCACTACGTTAAGGTACAGTTTCCTTGCGAGTCTCATCTAACTCGATAGTTGGTAAAAGATACTCGAGCCTTCTACACCACTCGTAGACATACGCCGCCTTAACACATGTCTCGGGACCACACAGTCTTCGAGTACAATTAGTCACACATTTGAGTGCCATTTTTGATGTTAAATGGCATCCTCCTACAACGATGCATCATTCATGTGGTCCGTGTCACTGCAACTGCACAGAATACCATCACGTGGCTTTTAGGCCGCCACTAGATATGCGCCGCCCTGATTCCTTGTTTGATAGTGCCACACCGCCTCCACCAATCATGAGCTATTGTTTTCATATCGGGTTTTTGCTACTGTAATTCCCATTCTCCATACATTTAGACCGATACCAATTACATCTGGTCTCGGTCCATGGTTTCGCCGTGCTAGACGCCTTCAAGGTCGCATGAGCTGGTGCTTACTTTGTACCTCTCCGTTCCCGTAGCTTCTGACACCAAGTTGACACACACCGACCTATTTTCTGGCTTTCCTGTGCCACAGTCCATCCACTTACCATTGAATTGTCGTCCTATTCACGTCCGGTAAGTGAATAGCCTCCAGTGATTTAGCGTTTCGTCAGCCAGCGGAGATGCCTCGCTCCGCCCATGCTTTCTCAGTTACACCCTGCATATGCCAATAAACATCCGTGGATGGTGTTATCATTTTCACTTCGATTACTGCGCGGCTTCACATCAGGTGTCTGTATGCACATTACACACCTGTCTCGGAGTAATAACGGTGAATACGTATATTAACATTAACATAAAACGTTTATATACCCATGAACGAAGAAGATTCCCAACGTGCCCGTCGTCGTCCTGCTTGCAGTACAGAAATCGCCCGATCCAATTGGCTAGAACACTATTCCGCGGCATTTCTTTGTACGGCGATGCTAGGAAAGGTATGACATTCGTGTATTAAAACAGTAACCTACCGGTCACATTACTGGAAAAGAAAAATGGTCCGGTCATATTTTGACCAGTTAGTCCAGCCCAAACCATTAGCTTAGAACTACGTTGCATACAGGAAGCTCGACAGCGTCGTGGATTTAATGTCGCCCAAAAGTGCTGCTTCTGTATTCCGTGCAAATGGAATATTGCCTTATCGGTGAAAAGAATGGAGTGAATATCCACGTGATTCAAGAATCAGCTGCAAAATGCAAGCCGCTCCTCCGGATCGCATGGGTGCAACACTTGTACTGGACGTGCACCATACCGACGAAAGTTGCTTTCTTTCAAAATCTGGTGAACTGCGTAACGGGTGGTGTGACAATTTTGGGCGATTGTATGCATGCTGAGATCAGCCCTTTCGGTCACTTCGCGAATAACAGCTCGTTGTGGTGCGAGGCTGCCCCGTCTATTGAGCGTTGCACACGCTCTTCACCCGAAAATCAACTTCTGACCGCTCTGTCAAACACTATTTGCGGAGCTCGATGGCCTGTTGATCATGGCGATAGCTGCCAAGCACTATGCACCAAATTCTACTCCCAGATCAGCTGTCTTTACCTGATGAGTCTAAACGAAGAAGAAACTGTCCTTCGTGGAATGGAAGGATGGGAGAGAGCCTCACCGAAACCCTCTTCTTTACCAGTTTTAACACATACCTGCCGTTTGCAAACCCCATTATCGAGGTTATGCTGTTGCATCATCGCGCTGTTTCAGTTGCATTTAGCCCGCACTCCCCATATAATCGAAGAATAAGCACGCGCTGGCCATCGGTGACTTGACGTAACTCAGGTTGCATAAAATTCACCGGCGTGAGTGTATCCTCGCGTTCCATCGCTGAAACATTGATCCACTTAAGAAAGAAAGCTTACCGTGTGCCTAAGTTTATCTGGTAAATCTAATCGATGTCCGAACAGCGATTTTGACCTGTCTATCCACAACCAGGTGTCCAGCTTACGTATTGTACATCATTGACCTATGGGCTACCAGTTGGCAGAACCCACATCTTGGGGCAGAGAAAATTCTTGCCCGAGGTAAACAGATGTGCGCTTTGCGGTTAAACACACGGCTCCGATTGGATAGCCTGAAAATTACTGCAATTTATCTGTCCTTCGTAGAGACGCGCGTCGTGTTGTATTAGATTGACCTCATACGGCTTTCTGTCTACATTTAACGGAATCACTGTAGGTTACCTATCCAGCACTTGCGCAGTGTAGGAGCCGCGGTACACACATTAATTATCTCCAATTGACACTCCTGTCTCATAAACCAAGATCACTTGAATTTTCCATGTACTCATGGAGAAGGGAGCCTCCCAGTACCTATAGTGACTCTATGTGCAAAAGCACTCCCCACCAACTTGATTTTGAAGTCTATTCATTCCTTACTCGGGGAAGTCCCTCAATAAGCTGTTGACTAGATCAGTCTGAGAAATCCAGGTCTCAGTGACTGCAACGACATCAACAAGACTGCAGCTTGCCATCAATTCCTCTCACTTATTCCTTATGCTACACCAATTGGTATACCATACTCCCAACCCTCTGCATTGTTTCTTCCTCTCCGTGGCATTTGTCATCCATTTCTCTTGGGGCGCAAAACCCGAGGGGATAGCTCATTTCTTGAACCGCTTTTAGGTCGCTGTCCACTGCCACCGAAATTTGAGAATCAGAAACCGTTTCTTGTTAACCACGGCACAATAATTTCCCCTTTCTCTTTGATGTACTCCTTTTTAGCTGGGCTATCAATCATTCTATTCATAGTCGTCTGATTACAGCCAGCTACGTTACTCGTTGCACTATCAACGTGACCACTCTGCACTTGCCAAGGGTTCCCATTTTGCAGTTGTGCACCTTTAGAGACGGACCATCAATATAATGGGAGTTAGATAGTTCGGACGCGCGTTGTGGTGCCCCATAAGGCGGTAACACGCCAGTACTTTGAATAGTAAGTAAGAATATCGAGTTTAATGCAGGATAATTTATTTGGCAAACACATTATGTCTTCAAACTCAAGGCGTGCTTGTCATGTTTCGTGCTTTTTTCTCAAAACAACTTGAAAAGTTTGTTTCAATTTTTTGTGTTATCCGAAACCACTTGAAAATCCCAACTTACTCGAACTCCATCATCTGATAGTTTCTCGCGAAACCAGCGATCGCTTCGAGGATTTGTCTGTGAAAGTGACTTCACCAGTTTTCGCCAACTTACTCCGTATCTCATCTGCGGTTCTCACGATTCTTCGAAGCTTGCTTAGGAAATACTCTGTCCTGTACCTTGTCGTCAACAGTCTGGGAGCCTTCATTTGAATGATTTGTTTCGAAGGAATTTGATTTTTGGTGAATCTTTTACTGCCACAATGATTTTATATTGGTTTAGACCAAAGGAAACATTTTTTGCAAGGTTTTGCATAAGCGGTTACATTATTTCCAAGTTAACTCTGCTTCGGCGGACACTTGTTGGGATTTGGTGAGTCCAGTTCACTGTAAACGCTTCACTTCAGGTATTATGTGCTTGGTTTTTAGCACAACTGCATAGTAGGCTACTGTGGACCGGATCACGCTTAATCTGTCTTTTCAACACTTTTTCCTTTCATTTTTCTACCATGTTAATTAGACTCTTCCTATTCTTCCACGGACACTCCCTTCTAACAGCAACGATGTGTGGCAGAGGGATGCTCTGAATTAGTCACTGTCTCGTTAGGTAGAATACAGGGCGAATCTGCACTCGCTGGTTCCACGACACGTAGACTGGTTTATAAAAGAAACGTCACTCATTTATTTCCGACTGCGAGAACTTGCTCTTTAACTGCTCTGACTGTCTCCATCGTAAATCGCAACGCTGGCTACTCCAAACTTGTGCCGTAAATCACAGTTATCCTGGTTGGAGTACATAGAGCGGACGATTGATGGGACTGCAGCTTAGACCCGGAATCGTAATCGCAATGTAGAAAGCGACAAGTGGGGATTCCAGCGAACCACTAGACCTAACACATTCTTCGAGTATTTCGAGGACATTCCTTTATTATGGTCATGTAGATCGTGATCCCTCATAGTGTAATTTGATTCTGCTCTGAGCCAAAAGGAACTGGTTCCCCTGTATCTGCCAAACATAAGCAGCGGTGGCAAAGGAAATCGGAAAGTTCACCTATGTCTGAAACAAAAATTGTATCAGTGCCTTCCGATGATACTGTGATCCTGCAACCATCGGAAAAACGTTATACCACCTCCATAGCACAGCTTTCACCATGTGCGAATATGTCTACGCAGTTGTATGAAATGCGTCGAGCATTACTATTCGCTTTATCTGTAACGCGTGCCGCAAATACCCCTCGGCGTAACGACTCGTTTACCGACAGTGGCGTAATGTTTGGGAACATTGCGGTCTTTCGCTGAACTTCCTTGGGAATGAATGTTCCATGATCTCCATTGGCTTAAGGTGTATGTCTCTAAACTCCTGCCCAGGTTTCCTGGGTTTACTGTTAGGAAGCATAATTCTCATAAACTTGCAGTGTGCCTAATAACGACGTTTTGGACCCATTCGATCTTCCGTGTCTCGCCTCAGGTGATAAGGCAATAGGCAGGTGTGTCGCACTCCAGTATCGGTCTCAGGAATTGCGTCCCCTGGAAGTTCGTTTCCGTACTGTCTGACCTCGGGTAGAGTTAGGGTTTATGGCAACCTTCCGTCTTCCTTTACTGTCACCTAAGGGATTTGACAAGGATGCTCCATCCCCCCTTCCCCTTCAATTTTGCCATTGAGTATGTTCTCAGAAATACTCTCGAAGGCTCGTTGAGCACTGGAGCCGAGCTCCTCCCATACGGTCGGTTTATTGACTTGGACTACGCGACTGTGTTGATCACATCTTCACATTACGTCAATTGTTGGAGCGCCCGAATTTAGTTGGGTCTGAATTCGAGCGCTCAATATAATATTGCAGCTGCGACCACCCATTTATGTGTAACTATTTTCCATTACTTTTAACGTGCTATTACGACCACTGAATGGTTGTGCATGAACAACCTCTTACACGCTATTTGGGACAAAATTCGGGCTCTTAGAAAAATTTCGCCGCACCATCCCCCCATGCGCGGATAACCATTTTCCTTTATTTGTAGCCCTTTCGGACCACCACTACAGGTGTGCATACGAGCGTATTCTTCGGCGCTGTAACTTACTCTTATATACAGAAATATGCGGTTGTTTCTGAGCGCCCGAATTTCATTCCAAATGAGACGCAATTCGAGCGCTCAGAAAAATTGGCAGCAACCTTCCCTAATTCATGGTTAACTAAGTTTCATCGCTTTTAATGCAATTTCATGATCCCTACAGGGATGTGCACGTACACACTCCTAGCCGCCCTAAATTACTACCAAGTATAAAAGTATCGTGCTCAGAAACCACATACTCCACTATCGCACTGCAACCCCTAATCCTTCAACGTGCATTACACACACCGCTGTAGCACGAACACGTTCGTGAGGGATGTAAAAGCTGGCCATTGACCCAACTATGGGGCTATCTACATTCGTTGTACCAAATTTTCACGCACACTAGCAGCTGTTTTACCTCGCTGTAAAACGAAGCAATATACCACCACAACTTTTTATACAGGAATACCAGAAAGTTAAAGAAATTGTAATAAAAAGTACTGCTGCAGCGTTTTTGTACTAGGCCCAGGTTTGACACGCGTGTTCGGTTTATAATCCTCTCGCTCTTTGATTCGGTGTATCCAACGGCAAATCTTATCGGCGATGATACTTTCAGTGCATTCGGCACAACGTTTCCTCATTACATCGTCTGAAACTGATATTTTGTGCAACATCACAGCTTACCTGCTAATAACATGGGCCAAGGGTGTGCTTGAAATTCGTTGCTTGCGTGAACTCCTCGCCAGTTCACTTTCATCGCAAATGCGTTCGTCATGACTGCTAACATTGAGTTCCTGACGAATTCCGTTAAGGACTTTCCGCCCAGTTGCTCGAAATAGGCCGTCTGAAACATCATACATGAATTCTGTCCTTACTAACTTCTCCATGTCTTCGCGTTTCTCCAGCCGCATCTTCAGCGTAAGGAGCTCATCGACTGAGTCCATTGGCAGAGGCACAGGACTGATGGCAGCTGTCCTGTTACTGACCAAGCGGCGATCCAGGAGCCTACCCTCAACTCCATAACACGCATTTGTTCGCGCATGAGAACGAACTCATGCGTCCGGTGATCGAGATGGACTATAGCGAGCTAATAAGACATACATCACAACTTATTACAAACAGCTTTATTGGAGTAATTCACTGTGTCGGGCAATTTCTCCGTAGCGGAGGATGTTTGACAGGAACGGTCACAACTATGAGATTATACCGCGACAACGTTGTTACTTTAAACTCCCTGTATGCCTGGGATCTTCATTTTTCTTATTACCCTGCGGCAACTATGCCAACTCCAACCAGGGTGGTGGGGGTGAATACTCGATGTCCAAGCTGTATGCGACAGTTGGACAAGATTACTTTATAGGAGTTTCGCATTCTGGGAAACGGACGGGAATGCTAAAAAGAAAGATAGCTGAATTTATGAATAAATGTATATTCTCGATTGTGCAGGGAAACACCATCGAAGACCTGATCAATTTGTACAACTATCAATTGTCTGACTGTGACGGCAATAGTTGTATTCATGGCTAAATTGGTATGTTGCCTAATGGTGCCATCATTGTGTCGTGGCAGACTGAAATCTAAAGGCGTTGTCAATAATTCGTTTTTATGAACCCATGAAGGGAGGATTTTCAGCTGTAACACACGCCATCGAAACGGTAAAGCGAACAACACTGTAATCTTACAATGTGCTCCCGGCAGTATGATTCCCTTCAGCAGTGAAAGCAGCCTAACAAAAGCTTACGAGTTTGTTGGAAGCCAGTCATGAGGCGATAAAAGCTTTTGTGGTGATAACAATACGGCGCCCATCGACCGGTCACCACATACGGCCAGCCTGTCTTTCTTCGTTGCTAGCGCAACGACACACTTCGCAGGAAACCCTTTTGCTGGCTTTTCACCTGCATGAAGGCCGACTACCGATCGATCGAAGCCTTACACGTTCAGTGCGGCTATGTGGTGTCCGGGTCACGTCCAGATCTCACAGCTGAACGGTGTGCGTTCCTTAGGTATTGCCATGCGGTCGAGGCACGACGCATTCATTGCGGCTGTGGTGTCTGGCTAACGTTCACTTCTCACAGTGTGTGCTCTGCGTTCATAGGCACACATGTGGCGTCCGTGTCCCATCTCACCCCTATCGGCAAAGCAATTTATGCCATTGGACACTTAGCAATTCAGCGTACCGGTTGTACGTCAGTACCTGAGTGCAGCCGCTCCTACCTCCGGACCACATTAACAAAACACCCGGTACATGCAAGAACGCTGAATCCAGGTCAACTTTCTTAAACATCTTTGCCCAGTAGCATATCGTCTAGTGTCGGTATGGTGTGGTATTCTCTTCTGGGCGAGGCATTGAGCGGCTTCGGGTCGATACACACGCTAAGCACCAGCTTTTTAGTGACGATTGTCACTTGGCTTACCCAATCTATCGGCTCATCGGAACTTAAACCGGATAAACGCTGCAGTTCTTGTAATAGCTTTTCGCCGAAACCTATGTGTACCTTTCTAGTTGACGAAGCTACTGGTCTAGCAGATTCGTTTAACGGCAAATGAGCGGATGCCTCGAATTTCACAATAACCCCACTAAACACGGTAGGATACGAATTGACAAAATCTGCGGTCGCCTGACACGAGTAAAAAATCGATCATGGTTAAACGAAACCAAACCAAGGCGCTGGATGGAATCAATACCCTTCCGGTTGTAGTCTTGAGCCGTTCCATATTTTGTGACAACTCCGTGCTTCACTGCATTTTACTCCAGCACACTATCTCTCGGGTAGTCTGTTGACGGTACCTCCACAATCGAGCTGAAAGCGAACTGGACATCGTTGAATTAACAGTATCGTAAAACTCACTTCTGCTCTCCATGTTATTTATCGAGAGCTCCTGTGTATCGTGTTGACTTCCATTCTCTACTGCGCGCCTGCAAGACTCGAGCTCTGTGCTCACTCTGCGATCCCCTTCTGGTGACACCGGCAGCACTTTCTCATTGCACCTAACCGGTGACGATGCAGCTTCGAGCACCGGCCAAGCCGGTGTTGGTATTGTCCTGAGTCCCCGGGCTGAAGCTCCTCTGTTTGATTGGATTCCAATTAGTAGCCAGATGTGTGCGGTCAGATTGGCTGCCTCGTTCAAAGCTTCGAGCTCGCGCGGGACTAACAGGTATCTATTCATTATCGCTTCCTATGCACCGACAA